CCCTGCTGCTGCCCCGTGGATCCGCAGCCCCAGCCCTGGCAGCTGGAGGTTGGTGCTTCGTGGCCGTGGCCGGGGGCAGGCGGAGCGGCCTCCTCTCCCACGGGCGGCTGCAGGCTTTGGGGCAGGCGTGCTGTGGTGGGGACAGAGCGGGTGCCTTTGCTGTCCCCAGGCCTTCGTGTGGGTCGCATGTGCGTGGACAGCCCCTCGTCTGTGGAGAGCCTTTGATAGCTGGGGAATTCCAGACATGGAGGCTGTTTCTCCCTCCTGGTGGGAGCACGCACCGGGGCTTTGCTGTCAGACGAGCAGGTGGGGAGCGCTGCTGGTTGGATGCAGCTCCCTTGGCCGATGCTCGCGCCCCTCTCTCAGCCCCGAGGTCTGATAGGTGCCTTTCCCCCAACCAAAGTTGTGGTGCCAGCTTTTGGGAAGTGGGGGTACCGAGGGCGGATGGGTTTTACCTCACCTGGGAAGTCCCAGTCAACCTGTCAGGAATTGTTTTCCTCCTGGTTCTTGCGGTAACAACTTTCTGTGAAAAATACATCTATTTTTCCCAAGTCAACTCTGCTAAGGGAAGTGCAGTATTTAGCCCTGATTGCTTTCGGTGTGGCACGTGTCTGTCCTCAGCCAGGCACACGGCAGCTTTCAGACAACGAATGGGCCTGTTCCAGGCTGAAGCGAGCAGTGGCAATGCCCAGCCTGTTCTGTTCAAGGCAGTGAGGTGAAAATGTGCAGTTAGGAGCGCTGTCTGCGTTGCTTCCCCTTGTGATTGCAGTGCTTCTTTCTAGTGTTCTGTCATACTTCCACTGGTCGGCTCCATCAGGTTTCAATGTCTGTAAACTGATGCTACGCTTTGCAACTGTTTCTCTTTGATTCTTCACAGATTTGAAAATTCCCTGTTCGGCTCTGTCTGCTTTCTTCTCCCCCTTAGTCCCCCAGAACCGTATGTGACTGCAGGGGCTGCAGAGCCTGTGTTTCCTCCCCGTGCTGAGGAAAATACGGACGTGAACCAGAAAGAGATGGTGATTCTGAAAAGACCCCTTTCTCTGTGCTCATTCTCACATTCAGTTGCCTGTTGTGGGTTCTTAAATGCCGTGAGGTGCTCTCAGTCTTAGCAACCCCTTGTTTGCATCCCTGTGCTCAGGGAGAGCATCAGAAATGCTATTTGGGCATGGCTTATGTCAGACAAGTAACCGCAGCCCTTTCTGAAAAAAAGCTCATGGGTGAGTTCGCTCCTAGGCTGCAGCAGAAGGGTTTCTGTTTGTGTCCGCAGGAACTCAGGAGCAAACCCTGCTGATGGAAACGCTCAGGGGAAAGGGAAGACTGGAGAGAGAAGAACGGATCAGTAGAGCTGCGCTGCTTTACCCCAGATGGTGTCACACCTCCTGTCACGGTGACCCTGGGTAAGGGTGCTCTCGGGGTGTTCTCTAACCTTTTCCAGTACTCACCACCCAATGGCCCTTTGGGGAAGGGCAGCACCCCCCTTCTCTGTGCCCCCCAGGACCTTGTCACGCTGCATAACCTCCTGCTGCACAAACAGAGGGGGCCGTTAGTCGAGTTCTTGAGGGAGGCTGGTGTGGGCACGAGGAAGATCCCGGGAGCAGGCATCATTCAAGTCATTACCAGCGTATGTAGGGAGCAGAACGGGAGCGAACTGCTGCCACTGCCATGTGTCCTCGTGTGCAGCCCCAGGGTGGTTTTCGGAGCACTGGTTCAGGACAGCCCTGGTAAGAGCAGCACAAACCCAGTCTTTTTCCCCACCCTTCCTGGCTGCCGGGGTTGGCTGAGGCCGGGCAGGGGAGGGCTCATCCTGCCAGCGCTGCTGATGGCGGCCGAGGAGAGAGCGGCCTGATCCTGCTGAGCGCAGGGTCGCTCCCCCGCCTGCCAAAACTGACCAGGTGCTTTCACATTCCTTTTTTCTACAGTATTTTTATCGCTGATGTTATGATAATGAGAGTCATCCTCGGCAATACACAGTGTTGTCAGTGCAGCATACAGCTTTGGATAATAAGCATCGAAACACTGTCAGTGTGAAGTATTTACAAACATGGCAGTCTTAAGTTTGCAACCCAGTGAAGTCATATGAAAACACATGAAAAATCTGTACTGCTGTTGAGGGCTTGTGTCCTTGCAAGTTTATGCCTTGAATGCAAACAGCCGCTCTGTCCAGAAGGCCGTCCGGCTCAGCATGTCCTTAAACACTTGGGCATTTGCTCCTAAAATGGTATCATTGAAGTGATATTGTTTGGGCCCCTCTGAGTACATTGATGTCTTTAACAGATTGCTGTGGATTTAAATACCGTTGCTGCACAAATTGGCAAAGTTCTGCATTTGGTCTTTTCACGTTATCTGATGAAGCCGTTTGGTTTAATAGTTTGTCTACAGATGAAAACACCTAAAACCCAGTGCAAAAATTTTGGCCCAGGGTTAGAGAAGAAGCAGACAACAACAGAAGCAGCAGCAGCAGCAGAAGCCTCTTCAAACATCTTGAAGAAGCCGAATGTTTGGTCTGGCTCCGTTTCTGGAGCGGACTCCAAAACTGTCAGAAAAAGCCTCCACCCCATTTTGGGGAACAGCCAAGAAGGATAAAGGTGGTGTTGGTAAAGGGATGCCTGAAGTCTGCCTCTGTATCTGAGAGACCTTTCTGGCAAAGGGGTGGAAAATTGATCTTGCCTTCCTCTGGAACAGAGGGTGCATGGGGAGCCCCCAGCTTGGCTGAGGAAGCTATGAATAGTGAAACACTTGGAGCAGGAAAGGAATGAGATCTAAAGTGCAGTAAGGAGCTTGATAATCTGATAGGGTTAATGTTAATTACCAAGCGTAACCTGTGGCTTCTTGCGTAGCAGGAGTGATCAGCTCAGGGCCTTGCAGTAAGCCATTAGGCAGGGCAGGCAGTGAGGGTTGCTGGTGGCCGGTGCTTGCAGCTAGATGAGCTTCTTGGTGATTTCCAAAACATCTGTAAAAATGCCCTACAGCTTGCCCAGGCTGATGCTTTTCTTGTCAACCTCTGCTCTTGAGTGTGCAAACAGAAAGCGTTCCGAGTCCCGCTCTGGCCTAGAAGTGCTGCTGCTGGAGCTGCGGCGCTGTGCTGGGCCACGGTTTGGCTCCCGAGTGGGAGAAAATACCCAGCAGCAGCGATCTTCGTAAAGCCTGGGCCACCAGCGTAGCAGCCTCAGCTGCAAAGGAGGGGAGTGAGCTGTTGCAGGAACATCAGTGAAGCTGATTACACCGAAAGCAGTTTTTACCCTCTAGGCGAAAGACAGCCTGGTGCTGGTGGTGTTTCTTGTTCCAGAGCTCTCATGTTGCTCTACAGCAACTCACTTCTTCAGCCTTTGACTTGTGCCACCATTTATCCCCCTGCAAATATGAGGAAAAACTTCTTTACTCTAAGGGTGACAGAGCACTGGAACAGGCTGCCCAGGGAGGTTGTGGAGTCTCCTCTGGAGATATTCAAGGCCCGCCTGGATGAAGTCCTGTGTAGAATGCTCTAGGAGAGCCTGCTTTAGCAGGGGGGTTGGACTAGATGATCTCCCAAGGTCCCTTCCAACCCTTGCGATTCTGTGAAATAGGACTGTTGGTTCTTGACTGCTTTAAGGTTGTGGAGCGGCTGCCTTAGTCGTTCTCATTCACAGAGGAGGCTGTTTCTTGAGCTCTGTAGCCGTTGTTGGCTGGGCTGTGAAAAGGTGGTATGGCTTAGGGGGTTATCTCTGCCTGCTCTGGTCTTTCAGTCCTGGGGTTTGAGGCAGAAATGGCCACATAACACTTCCCTTTAATTCTTTACGGCGAGAGAAACTTAGCCGATCACTTCTTTCTCAAAGACGTGCCATCCAGTTTGAGATCTGGCTTGCCTGGCTCCTCCCTGACTTTGGATGTTTGTAGCCATTGCCTCACGGCTTCCGAGCTCTCCCCTCGGGGTGATGTTGGCTTGGAGGGTGGTACCCCAGGCTGGCCTGGGAGAAGAGTGTGGGGAAGGCTGCAAAGCCTGGTGGCCCGTTGACACCCTGGTGATGCAAGGGCTTGCAGCCTGGTGACGTGGCAGGCCACTGTGACCTCACAGACCCGTCCTGTGAGGTCAGCCTCTGTGATGCTCACCTGCGTGGGTAGAAAACTTCTTTGTCTTCCAGTTGGGACCACATTGCAGAGAGGCGTCCTGCTGGAAGAGGCAGGTGGTCTCTCCGCTGGGGACCGTGTCTCCTTTATCTCTGTGTGGAAAGCAAAGGAGCTGCAGTTGCGATATTGCAATAGCACGTGCCGCTTGGGCTTTCCGTGAAACTCCACCTTACGCCAAGGGAAGGCCAAGTAAGTCTTTCTCTGTCTGTGTCTGTGCAGTCATTTCTCTTCTCATCTTAATGGCAGGGCCTCCAGTTCTCTAGGTTTCTGTCAGCTCCTGTTCTTATGCCTCCTCTAAGCAGGGTATGTGCTACTGGTGACTTTTAGCATGGACGATGTTAAGAGCACACGTGGTCCCATTTAGCTGTATCTGTGCCAGCCTTGCCCAGGTCTCTCTCACCCAGACAGGATTTATTTCCGTGTGTTCTGCATCGCTAACTGTAGGGTTTGCAGGGAGGCATCCTGGCCTTGCTGTGGAAGCTCCCTTTCTGATTTAGCTGCCTGCTACCTCAAGGCATTTAACCTTCCTGTCAGGTTCCCTGGGACTATTTTATCATCGTGTCTGTTTCTTCTTCCAGATATAATGGCTTCGGCTGTGTAAAATGGCTTCGCGCTTCCGCAATTTCATCCCATATGCCGTACCTGGAGCGCTGGCACTTCTTGGCTGCTGGTGGCTCTATTCCCATCGAAAACAGCACGCAAGCTATCACAATGAACAAGCAATAGGCCCTGAAGAAGAGCAGCAGGAAGAAGTGCCAGAGGATGATTGCTCACCCAGACGAGAAGCGCGTCTTCCTCGAAGGCTGCTATTGGATACTGGCTCTGTGACAGCCCATGGCCTGGGATTGGAAAAGGAAGCCAAGACCGCAGCAGCCTTTCTCAGTAATGAGGGTGAAGTGGTATCAGGTCGCAAGGATTCTGGAGTGAGCGTGTTACCGGAGAATCTGGACTCTGCCTGTTTGGAGCAGTCCAGGGAAGAAGAGATTTCAGAGATTGCCATTACTTCACCTGTGTGTCAGGGGGAGGACACACAGCCAAAAGGAGATGATTTGGAAAGAGAGAGAGTTGGAGGAGGGAGTTTGGACGAGGAAGAAGTTGAGAAAATGGAGCAAGCAGCAATACAGGTCACCTCCAAGGTCCTTTTGGCAGCAACTGAGGAAGTCCTGTCTGGTTCTGCAAGTGCTGTGACCACTCAGATCTGCCAGGCTGCTGCCAGCCAAACTGAGAGACCTCTGGAGATGGCAAGCATTGTTTCATCTGACCAGATGCTTGCTGAGCAGGCTACAGGAGTGGATGAGAACCTTGCTGCAAAGAGTGATGCTGCGGTACTGACATCCCCGCAGACAGAGGAACAGGATGAGAATGGGACAGATTCCAGCTGTTGCACACACGGCCGTTCATCCGTCCCTGCTCAGGGAGGCATAAAAGCCCGTGGGACGAAGAACCGTGTGTGCAGTCGGTCCCAAGGAGTTGATTGCACTCCTGTGGAAAACCGTCGAGGGTCACTGGAATGCTCACCCTTGGTTATGGGGGACTTTGGGTACAGCACATACACATCTGAAGGTGGAACAAGTGTGCAGGACTCCCTGCAGTACCCCATGCTGTCTGTTGCATTGGGCCAGCATTCAGACTCACTGAGCCTATCTGCAACCCAAGATGCCTCTGCTGAGCAGAGCTCAGCACCAAGTGACAAAGCTCCTGCTCTGAAGCTCTCTGGAGACAGCAAAGGGCCATACAGTAATGGCATCCTGAAAGAGGCTGGTCCAGACTTGCACCTTGGGTGCAGGAGTGCAGCAGGGATGGATGGAGATCACTTGGGAGGTAAGGGGTTGAAAACCCTCCTACAAAACCGTGGTGAACAAGCATGTTATGTGCAGTAACCCTTCTGCTTCAGAACAGGTTCGGATAAATCCTCTTCATGGTTAACTTCCCCAGGAGATGGATACTTAGGCCCCATGTGCCTTTGCTCTCAGAATTCCCCTCTGTGTAGGATCCATCGATCTATAGGATCCAGGCTGGGTGGTCTTCAGGGGTGAACAGGTCCCCTCTCAGCACAAAGCTTCTTGTCTAAAGCCAAGCCTGTGCTTGAGCAGCCCAGGGAAATGGGCTGTGCCTGGAGGTAGGCCAGGCTGTTGAAGGGTAGGTGCCTGCCAAGAAATCCCAACAGGGAGCAACATTCAAGGAGTTCCTCCATCTGTCTTTGTGCTGCTTTTGCCTTCTAGATCCTGGGTGCTGTGTGCCTGGCAGAATACAAAGCTGTCTGAGCAAAGGTTCACCCGTGTGACCTTGGGGATGGATGTTAAAATCCTTTAGAGGAGGACCCTGTGGTGCCAAGGGTTTGCCTTGTGGTGAATGCTGGTGTGACAAGACGGTACACGAGTGTTGTGGAGCCCGGTGATGAGAAGGGCTTGAAAGCTCTGCCTGGAGAGGGACCGCTGAAGGGAAGGGAGAGGGGAGACAGCAGGTCAAGCTGATAGCATGTCTGTGTTGGATAAGAGGTCCTACAGCTGACCTTTACACCCAGGCTGTGAGACTTAAAGCCTTGCTCGTGTCTGGGCAGGCTATGGCAAAGCGCTGCACTGTTTGCCTTTGACTTTTGAGGCGTCTGTGCGGTGTTCCTAGTTAAGAGGTGGGAACTGTGAAGCAGCTGCTGGGTTTATCTTTCTCTTTGGCCTTGCACCGGATGGTCTGAATACGTGCAAGCAAGTGAGGATCTTCATGCTGCTGCTTGTACATTGGGAGGAAGGATGAGCCTTGTGTTGCACTGACTGTAGCTGGGATCTGATCAGGAGGAAGCTGTTTGGGCTTGTCCCCTTCCCAAGGAGAATTGTTCCTGGTATCGGCTGGTGGCTTGGGACCAAAACAGAGCTCCGCTCTGGCACCTTGTTTCTTCAGGCATATGAAACATTTGGGCAAGAGGCAATCGCCTACCACAGTAGTAGACACACCGGTCACTGCACAACCCCTGTTGGGGCAGGAGCGTGATGTCAGTGCAAAGAGCAGAGGAATAGGTTGCACGTTCCTCCCTGCATGCCAAAACTCCCTGGCAAGAGCCCCCTGTTTAAGCCACAGGGGAAATGCCAACTGCTGTGCTGCAGCAGCAGCTCAGCGTTACTGTGAGCACAGCTCTCTTTCAGCTGGTACCTTTGACTTTTAGTGTCTTGCCTCTGCTGCTGGGTAAGGTGCCAGCATGTTTGAAGGACTCCTGCT